GCCCCCACAGCGTGTCCAATCCATCTTCATTTTCTCCTACACATTTGTTGGAAAATAGGTACTTGGTTGGTTTGTCCACATAGTTTCATGTTACCATTCTTCCTGACTGGCCATTCGATTTTCAGTATGGAGCATGAGAAGGAGGCATGTGTTGATAAAAGTCTGCAGTAGCTTGTTCGGAATGCTTTTCATGACGCGCAGAGCAAGTTTATGACTCATAGAGAAGCACCGACTGCCTTAACATAAGTGTTGAGAATCTGATATTCCTTTTTTATTCCGAGTGCAGCAGATTTCCAGAGAGTGATGAAGCTCTGCCTAGCCCTTCCGATTCTGATTTTAACATAGTCATCCGCACCGCTCGTCTGTAGTTGAAACAATTTCGCTTATGTATGCGAGAGAAGTGACCACTTTCGAACTTATCCCCATTGGTGATGATTCATGTCTGTTGTAGTTGGTTGGATATCTTTATCACCAGCGTCTTCTTTATGTTCACCTGCGGTCTTCTCTTTGCTGCCTCTTCTACCAACTTATTGATTTTCAGATATACGCGACATTAGATATAAATCGCCTGCGGTACCCAGATCTTCTTATCGGTCCTTCGTATTACTGTTCCATCCGGTCCATCACAATTAGGAATATCATTGACAGCCCTTTCCTCGCTTCAAAGGCTTCGCCGAGTTCTGCACTATGGATCACTTGACATGTGTCATTGTCATATAGCAGTTGGATGAGATTGATATAAATTTCGCAGCACGCCATAGAGTTGAAGTAGTCTCCGAATTAATTCACAGTCAGCATCCGTGAATGGTACTGATGCCCGAGACTATAGTGTCTGTTTACTGGCTTGTACCTATCTGTAAAGCAACTTTGACTAACTGACTGGTTTCAACATAGAACTTTGCTTAGATGTGCAACAGTTCCAGTCACCACACTCCATCTGCCAGACAAAGCAAGAGAAGAAAGTAAACAGAAATGCAAAATAGAGACAGTAAACAAAAATATGACATAAAGAATAGTAATATCGAAGTATTATAAGACACGAAGAGTGGACGCATCTGCGCCAGCCATTGAGAACAATCACTTCTAGCCATAAAATCAATTGCTTCCAGCCATTGGTTTTTACCATCCCGTGGACCCCGACCAATCAGCCAGGAAGTCTACACCTCCCTACGTGGTCGGCGACATAAACTAATTGTTGTGGATTTCATTGAATGATGAAGCCATGTTTTGGTTTGCCCGCCACCGGCTCTTATCCAACATGACCCCACTATGTCGGCTAACATTGCCTGTTGTTGAGGGAGGAGATGGTAGGCATGAATAACACCTCCACATCATCTCAATCGATGTGGCATCACAGCCTCGTCTATTGATTTCCTATCCTTATCTAGCACTCGACACCTAACCTCAATATTGTTCCCCTATTATACCAAGCCACCTAACACGGGAGATAGAACGCAGGCACCTATGATCAAAGACAGCTAAACGCCTTTTTATGTCTTCCACATTCAGTGGTCATGTCTCACTCAGCCATAAAGGAGGACGGAGCGGGCTGCTGAGCAATACATACGTCCTTTGGTCGAAAACCGGATATCACGTCTACTAAGCCACAGTCGGCGTAAACTGGTATATGCGAAACGAGCCTTCTGTATCCGTGCTGAGATTTCGTCAGCGATCAACCCGCTGGCACTGGCTGATGCAACTTCCCAAATAAGTGAAGTTGTCAACACGCTCTGCCATTTCACTCTCTGTCTTTAAACTAGGAGTCAATGGTGAGTAACACTAATGTTAGACCAAGGAGGGAAAACTACCAATGAGGCTGTGAACCTGCATCGATTGAGATGGTGTGTGTCAAGAAATATGACGATTGTTGGACGCCGCCGGTAAGTATGCCTGTGTTCCAGAATCTGTCGAAGGGGGAGGATATGATCGATATACCCTCTTTCAGTTCTAAAGCCTGCCTGAATTTCTCGTGTTTGTTCCTCCCGTGGACAGCTCAGTCTACACATGATTGTTGAACCTGAAACTTTGGATACTATATTAGTCGAGCTAATCCCTCTGTGATTATCACAGGAAGACTTGTCTCCCTTCTTGTGTATCGGGATAATTGATGACTTACACCAACCCAATGGGACTTCCTCTGATTCCCAGACGCTTCCTAGTACTTTAGTTAACGCAGACAGTAAATTGTCTCCACCGTACTTAAATACTTCTGGAGTCATTCCATCAGGTCCCGCTGCTTTGCCTTGCTTCAGATAAGTGACAGCTTTAGTAACCTCAGTTAGGGACGGAGGACCTGTCTACATCCCATTCAGGGAAGTGTTGGATGTTCACAGGTTAAGTGTGGCTGTAGACCAATTAAATAGCTCCTCATAGTGTTCTTTCCAACGTTCCAGTCGTCTATCCTGGGAGCTAATTATGGTGCCATTTTTCTCCGAGATTGTTTCACTTATCGTTTGGCTTTTACCACCTGTTTCCCTGATAAGTCTAAATAGTTGTCTGGTGTTACCAATCGCCGATGCATTTCCATCGCTTTCACTTCTTGTCGCCCACCACTGTTTACGGTCCTTGCGAATACTTCTTGTTAGTTTGCGTTTGAGTAGCTTTCGCTCCTCATCATATTCGGAGATCACCGGAATCAGTCCTCTTGCGTCAATTAGTTCAATATTATATTTCATCACAAGCGTTTTATAATGACTTCAATAACTGTTCACACTACCACGAACGTGTTCATCGCATCCATGGATCATGATTTAATCTACCGAGGATACATGTAAACAGGTATCGCCCATGTACAAACACAAAGGAGAATTTCTTTCGCGGACGGACATGGAGGAAGTAGAGTGGAAAAAAGTCAGCTATGAATATTTTGAGTGGATACGAAAAGAAAGTGGGGGAAATAGGTATTCCATGTTGTTTTTACGAGTTGATATCGGTTAGAGAACCATTGAAAACCAGCACCGGCGTACTGGACAGCTGCTGTTTCATTCTAGTTTGAGAATCATTGTCAGCAAGCACCCACCACAGGGAGTTCAAACCCAGAACCTTCCGGTTACAACGCAAGCTCGTATACCATTCAGCCACTGGGACCCGATTCAGTGGCTCTAAATCATGAACTGGTAGAAGTTAGAATTCATGAACCATTGAATCTGGTCCCAGTGGCTGAGTGGTATACGAACTTGCCTTGAAACCGGAAGGTCCTCATAAAAACATAACTAACCCTTACAAACCAAACTATAGGAAATTAATCTGATGCTCGCTAGTGACTTGCTGCAGGATGGAATTCCAGTGAGAAATCGTGACCAGTGAGGTCCAATTAGATGTCACGTGTGTGGATGGATGTTCCACCAACGACAATGTCTGGGGTCGCGCTAAATCACGAATTAGTAGAAGTTAGAATTCATGAACCATTGAATCGGGTCCCAGTGGCTGAATGGTATACGAGCTTGCCTTGTAACCAGATGTTCCTGGGTTCGAACCTCACTGTGGTGGGTGCGTACTGCCAGTGATTCCCACACTAGGTTGAAACAGCTGGCTGACCAGTACCCCAGTGCTGGTTTTCAATGGTTCTCTAACTGAGATATCAATCCGTGATCAACTCGTAATAAAATATAACTAACCCTTACAAACCAAACTATAGAAAAAAATTCCATGTTGTACTACTTTACCCACGTGTCTCAACTAGATAGAAATTGCCCAGTTATCTCACTTTTCCTATGTGCATTCTGCAACCACCACCACCTCTGTCTGTAGAAAAACCAAATCCCAACACCATGTTCATGTTTATTAATCAAATATGTATTATATAATATATAAATATATATATATATATCATTATATGTAATTATTAGCAAATGAACAGAACACATTCACACAGGCACACACTCACACACAATAATAATAATAATAAGGGAGTATAATTCTTCATCTGGGTGTGATTCATCAGACGACTAAAGAAATTAATTAATTAATTATAAAGATTAGAATTTGACAAAATCACGACCACACAAACAAACAAACAAACAAAAATAAGGACCTGTAACCAATTAAAAATAAAGAAATAGTGTGCATATATATATATATGTGAGTAGAATCATATAAATAATAAATAGATTATCATTTCCAGGGTGTAGGCGGAGGAGAGATAAGAGGCACATGGAGTAGTAATAGTGTAAGTAAATAAATCTGTAGATTGTTACTGAGAAAATCTGGTTTACACACACGCACACACACACACAAGGAGACAGGAACAATTCTAGAGTTGTTTTCAGGAAGATAAAGGAAATAGGAGAGAGAGGGTCGGGGTTTTGGGAGGGGAAGGGAAGGGACGGATGGGAAATATCTGTACAGTGGAGAGTTGAAAATCTGAAAGAATGCACACACCACACAAAAGAAGCAACATATGCATACATATATATGTGTGCGTGGGTGTGTTTGTGAAGACTGGAGCTGATCCAATGTAATCTGAGGGAAATATTTAATACAAAATGTAATCATTTTAATAGAACAGGGTGGTATCAGATGGGGTGGGTAAATGTGTGTGTGTGTGAGGGGAGCAAGTTGGATATTAACGTCATTACTACCAACATTGTCATCATTATCATCATTGACAGAATTTACATACCATAATTAATGTGAATGAATTGGATCAAAATAGGTCTATGAGTTGGATCGATGGTGGGGTGGGTGAAGGAAAGGTAAAACACACAGAGAGAGGGCAACCGCCTCAAACCCGCTGCACAATAATACAATAAAGCAAGCATATCGATTAGGCATGTATGTATGTATGTATGTATGCAGACGGGTAGGAAAAATCGAAATAGAAAACTGCAGGTCACACACACACACCACTCCCCCCTCTCTCTCCCGTCTCATTCACCACCAACAGAGCACACAGTTGAAATCCAAACCACTCTTGATTTTAGCCTTTGAGAGAATTTAACGCAGAGGGAGTGAGCTGATTATAGTGAATAAAGGGAGAGGAAATATTATATAAGAAGTCATCACAAATTCAACCAATCAAAATGACTAGTATGTAAAATATTTGCAGCTTGAATTGAACATGACGAGGCGATGGATAGCAAAAGGGGTAAATCGTCTGGTAAGCACCTAAAATAAAAACAAAACAAAACAGAACACAAGGACTGTGAATTAGGAAAAGCAACACTGCTATATATATACTCATATTTATATATATGCATATAAAGTTAAAATAGACTCCATCATAGATTATGAATAACTTTATATTACAAAGCTTGAAACAGTGATGTGAAAAATCGGATGTTGACAAACTACTACTTATAAGCTACTTAAAATGGTTTAGAAGGAAAAAAACGACCCCTTCCCCACAAACACACACGAACACTGTCGGATTGTAGAGGCATTAAACAACAAATATGAGGATATAACTTTTTAGATGAAGCAACCCTAATGTGTACAGTTAATTTCTTCACCTCGTCTAACGGAAGTCCTATCCTGACTGACGGACTGACTGGTTTCATCGTAGAACTTGGCACAGATTTGAAGCTGTTCAAGTTGCCACACTGCCTCCATGTAGCACACAAAGTAAACAAAGAGTAAAGAGAATAAAGAGAGAGAATAAACAGAAGTGTGAGTGAGGGAAAAAGAATAGTAATATGGAAGAACAACAGAATTTTATTGCATATTATAAATCACAAAGACTGGATGCATCTACGCCATCATTGAGAACAATCACCTGGAGGCATATCATCAACTGTCTTCTAGCCATTCTCATTGATAAGGTTCATTCAATGCCTGCATACACAATAAGTTTTCATTGAAACTGTAGTACAACTTTTAGAGTTATTAAAAAAAGACGGTTGCAGCAAAGAAAATTTTCTTTTCCACGAAGTCATCACGGGTATCTGAGACTAGCTGAGGCACTAGCAATCCAAAAGTTCAAGCACACACTATTGTATTCAAAAGAAATACATCTATCCATTGTCCCCACTATGGCCATCATAAAAAGTCAATTCTTGCAATCGTGATTATTATGTAATTATCATAGCTTGATTACACATAGTATTTTGGTACAACTATGAAATTTTTAGCACGTGATATCGGTAGCCCAAATTTAGCAAGCCGATCATTGATATCAGGTGTGCGTCGGCGGATCGACCGACATGTGCATGGTCGGAAAGCATCCAAACCCTGTGCCACCGACTCAAATTGTAGAGCTTGAAAACGAATTTATCGAGAATAGTTGTTCGCACAAATTCATCTTGTTCTGATTACACTATGGGGATTTCCAATTTACTGAAATCAATATGTCCATTACAACTTAAAAGACCGCTAGAAAGAATAGAACAATAATCTGACTGACTGAATTTTCAGCCAAAAACTTGCAAAAAACCACAGCTGAGTTGTAACTCAGAGAAGTGAACATAAAGAGCAGAGAAGAGATATGTGATAAAAGTAAGGGGAAAACAGTACAGAGGCTTCTGAGAATGTCTGAAATCAAAAAAGGCGCGAATTAAATCTGCACATACTGGGACAAATCTGAGCCATGTTTCCACCTACAGTTTTGCCAATCCAGTTTGAAAGACTCTAGACAGACACTCTGCAAACACCTCCGTACTTGACTCTAACCAACAATTAAAGACTTCATGAATTCATGGCATATTCTGGTCTGATTACTCCCCGCTTCCCCCAACCATTTTTTATAAACCAGATCACATTTAGCGGGTAATATAAGTCACAGAAGAAGACAGTGCCTCGACATACGCAACACTAATAACATACACATACACACACACACGAGTCCTAGTCATCTCAACCAATTGAAAGTTTTACAATTTTAACGATTAACTTCCTCTCCATAACTAATACTCTGCTTTCATACTTCATTGTAACTCATCATACTATACTACTAGTGAACACAAAAGGTAGAATGCAAACACCTACGACCAAAAATGACCAGTCCCCTTTGCACTTTTCACAGTCATGTTTTTCACACCATTAAGGAGGCGTGAGTTGAAGTGCTACACGAAATTATTAGTCTTAGATAGCAAAGATCAAAATATTATGTGATATTTGACAGATAAGTTGGTTAGTTACGCAAGTAGTACAAAATTAGTGTATTTATAGTGAAATATAGGAGTCAATGAAAAGTATCAAAGGGGTGAAGCGAAGCCGCACCACCAATGACCACTCTGGAACATTCATTTAGTGAGCAAGTTAGTGAAACCGTGCAAATAAAATTCTTGTTTTTGTTGTCCCTTCACATTCCCAGTGGAACATAGGGCACCTTCAAGCTAGAGCCAGCTTGAAATTTCGGTAGCACTGGTTGGTATTTGTTCTTACGGGATGGGGTTGCTATTGCTAGCCTCATGCCCAACCTTCTCTCTTTATCAGTTTTATTGTCTTAGCGAGGTGAAGGAGTGCGTCACAGTGGTCAGGGATCGAACCCCGAACCATCTGCGTGGTTGGCGAGCATTCTACTGCTGTGCCACCGACGCACGCAAATGAAATTACAAACATAAAAATAAAAATAGGCTTTGTAAAAAATTATATTTGTAAAGCCTCAGCGAGATTGAAATGAGTAATTCCAACGTTTCGTTCGGCAATCTGGTCCGAAGTTCTTTAGGGAAATTAATCGAAATTAACATAACAGAGGTTTATATATAGAAAGGAACATCACTTGTTTGTCCAATCATGAGTCATTCAAAAAGTATCAACAAGTATAATAAACAAAATTTTATGAGCTGTGATTAAAATTTGACCTCGGACTTACAAATATTGGTCTACCTTTGTTAAACACTTTAAACAGAGTGTGTATGTGTGTGTGGGTAAACAGTTGTAAAACATTTCTTAACGTCTCCATAAGAAGATATGGACAGTCGAGAATTTCGACCAAGTATTAATAATTAGTGATACATATCCATTTTTTATTTATTAATAAGAATTTCCTATGCATCAGCTAACATCACGCCTTCATGTCTCTTCAAACAGTTAGTATCTAGAATTTTACGATTAGACGTATTTTCAAAATTATGGTGTTTAGGATTAGAGTTTAGTAGAAGCACCCTGTCGAACTTATTGCATTGTCTTCTTCCTGAAGATTGAGCTGCTTTATTGGACCTAGTGGAGTTGTCAGGTGACTCGACATCTAGGGATTTAGGATATGCATTCTGTTGCAGACAACGGAGAGTGAAAACACGATGATTGTGTGCCAGTTACACAGCTTCTTTGTTAATTTAATTCGATTGCAAAATAATTCAAATGAACTGTCGTCATTTCAATCTCGCTGAGATTTTACAAATGTCTACTTTTCACTCGGCGCCCAAATATTTTAGAACTATTCTGTCAAATCTTGACGACAGTTCATTTGAAAAAAGGCTTAATTGAAGTGTTATGATATTATAAACCTGAATATCTGCTAAGTTTTAGGTTAGAGGTTTAGGAAAGATTAAGTCAAAGGTCTACACGCCTGAAGACAACAAGTTAGGATTAGGTTAACCCAATCAGGCAGGTGTATTAGGGTTAGTTCGAGTTTGATGAACGTGGGAGTTGAGGGATATGGTTCTACCTAGGACTAGAAGACCTACATGAACACATATACGCAGAATATGGTTTTTATTACTCTCTTCACACTTACAAGACTTACAAGCGAAAACCGACAAACTGGTCGAAAAAGCAGCAAAGACAGGACTCCAGGTGAACATAGACAAGACGGAGGTTATGAAAATAACCAACCAACCAACAACAACAACAACAGCAGCAACATCCAGCGCCAATCACCATCAACGGGAGGGATTTGAAAGAGGTTACTTCATTCACTTATCTAGGGAGCATTGCCCCAACTACAGGAGGAACGGATGGGGATGTCAAATCGAGAATCGGGAAAGCGAGAAACACATTCATCAACCTGAAACCAATCTGGAAACCTTCGTCACTCAGCATCAACAACAAAATTCGGATTTTCAATACAAACGTCAAGTCAGTTTTGCTATACGGATCAGAATGTTTCCATCAGGTTGCAGAACTTTACCAACAACTGTCTTCGCTCTATACTGAAGATCAGATGGCCGGAAAGAACAAGAACCAACGAGAAACTATGGGAACAAACAAAACAAGAACCAATCGCTCAACAAATATACAGGAGAAAGTGGAGATGGATTGGACACTCGCTGAGGAGGCCGCTGGGTGAAATCGCGTGTCAGGCCAACGCTCGAGTGGAACCCGAAAGGGAAGCGGCGAGTGGGACGTCGGTGCAAGGGTGACATGGAGGATATCGTGTGAAGAAGAGTTGAAACAGTATGGACTAACATGGATGCAAATGAAAAGTACAGCAGAAGACAGAAGCAAGTGGAGACGTGCAGTTGAAGCCTTATTATGTTCCACTAGGAACCCAAGGGAACAATAATAATAATAGACACTCTAATCGAAAACTTGGAGGCATTTTCACACTTCAGAAACAGATGCCCCGTGTAACACAGTTTTATGACTACTTTCGATTCAGTATATATATAAACATCGCCTTAGGTTTATTCAGGACCGTCTGTCCATAATACTGTTCTTTTCCCATCACTCACACTTCTGCTCATCATCTCTCTTTACTCTCTTCTTTTGATTTGTGTGCTACATGGAGGGAGTGTGGCAACTCGAACAACTCCACACATGTATCAAGTTCTATATTTTGAAACCAGTCAGTCAGCTGTCCGTTGCTTCATTTCACCAGACCAATGGACGACTTCAGAATGATGTCAATAACAAGAATATTGAGTTCAGAACTTCAATTAGAAAAAAACACAACTTAAATTAACGCTTTTAATGATTCAGTTACTATAATTAGAAGGAGAAAATAACCTTTCTCGTTATACTCTTTCTCCTTGTACTTCTTCTTAATTAGTGTACTACAAATCTAATCTAATCTGAAATTGTTGTTACTTTTTAAAGATATGACGTCATAGAGTGTGTTCCTTTACGTCTTTCCACTACACAACCTTCTTAAATCTTCACGATTATTTCAAATATATACGCGCATACTGTGGATATCTTTACGTCAGTTGGTTATCAGTTTCATGTGGTGTGTGTGTGCACGCAGCGAGCGTAATCTACAGCTTGTCTTCTCTTCACCTTTTCTTTAT